CTCTCCAGCCCGGAAAATTAACCGGCCGCCGTCTCCGAGAGGTCTTCCGGTCATCGGAAACCTCCACCAGCTCGGCGGAAAGTCCCCTCACCGGTCACTACAGTCTTTATCGAGACGATATGGTCACGAGCTGATGTTGCTTCATCTCGGGCGCGTGCCCGTGCTTCTTGTCTCGTCGGCTAAAGGCGCGCGGGAGATAATGAAAAATCAGGACCTTATTTTCTCAAACAGGCCAAAATTAAGCATTCCGAGACGGCTATTGTACGGTTCAAAGGACGTGGCTTTTGCTCCTTACGGGGAATACTGGAGACAGGTAAGCAAAAATTGGAATCTTGCCTTATTTGGTATGTTATGTACGGACTTTGTACTATATCTATACCTATTTTAGGAAAAGGGCTAGTTTCTATACAAATAAATCAGTTTTTTACTACTAGTTTTTTATATTAATCAGGATTTATTTTAAAAAAGTTTTTATTATTTATGGTTTATTTTAATAAATGGTTTAATTAATTTTTAGTGGGATATTAAAATAATATTTAAAATAAAAAAATTAAAATTGATTTGATGTAAATTATGAGAGAGATTATATATGGATGTGACAGATAGTTAAAATTATGTTCGTGGATAAACGGTCAATTAAAATTAATGTGATGTATAAGGATTGATTGGTATTATTTATTTCATATTGATAATATTGAGAATACTGATGATGAATTAAAATTCAGTTAGATTTTGAGTTGAGTTGGATTTATTGTTGGTAAATTAATAAACAAACAAGCCCTTAATATCCACAAATCAAATTTGGTTTTGTTTGGATGTTCTGATTGGTGTGAAATTTTAGAAATGGATCTTATTTAGGCTATGTAGGCTATGTTTGGTAGACTAATAAGCTATCTTATAGCTTATTTGGTTAGCTTATAAAATTCATGTATTAAAATAACTTTCGTTTGGTAGACGAGTTTTTTTTTAAAAAAAAAAAGCTCAAGCTTATCTCATAAGCTTCTTTGGGTAGCTTTTCAAATAAGCTCATTGAAATTTTTATTACAGCTAGCTTATCAGCTAATTTTATCAAACACTTATCAGCTAGCTTCTCAGCTATAAACTATAAACTTGAAAATTATTGAAAAGCAATAAGCTAGGTTATCAGTTAGTTTTACTAGCCTTAGAGGTTATACGTCAAATCCCCTAAATAGTTAGTTTGGTAAAAAACTTATATTATTAACTTTTTTTATCTCATAATGCTAATTTTGAAAAAGCTCAATATATGAGCGGCACTACAAGAAAAACTGCATTTGGCGACGCTTATTTTTTTGTTTACTGACGCTTATTTTTACTGACATCAAATTTAGCAACACAACTCGCCAATAAGCGTCATTAATAAGCGTCGCCAAATGCAGTTTTTTTTGTAGTGCGGTTTCATAAAGAGAATTCATAAAATAACATGTTAACATAATTTTTCAAAATTATCTTTTATTTTCAAACATTTATTTACAAACAACTAATTCAATAAGTTAATCAAAATAGCTATTACGATCTACTATCAATTATTCATAAGACAATAGCTAATCGACAATAAACATAACTAACTTTGTACTATATATCTACCCTAGTTTAATTCCCTTGTACTACATATGTACCCTAGTTTAATTTCCTCAAATCAATCGTGTCTTAATAACAACTAATAGTATAGTATAACACCAGGGATTTTTTTTTTAGAACGACGAATATATTAATAAAATACATATTTACAAGCAGCTAACTTGCGATTGAATTAGACAAAAGCTATATTCATAGAGGCATACAGTCGGGACGACGCTATACGCACTTTTAAGACTAAAAACTAGCAAAACTAGAATATTAAACTTCACTTATACTAACTCCCAAACAGGATAATAGAACACCACAAACACACAAACCTAAACACTCTTAACACACAAGCAATTAGAATAAGCCCTCCTCACTAGGCAGATACCGCTTTGAACCGCCACGTCTCGAACCAACCTCAAGGCAATCTAACCAAAGGATAGTTACACAGCCCACGACCCAAACAAGACCGAGAAACACCCATTGTGGCTGACTCAACTAGAGCCGACAGACTCGACATCAAACCCAAATTCAACACCACGGACCACCCCAAGCGACCCGCTCCACCACCCTCCCCCACCACGAGACCTGGCGGTCGCAGCCCAATGAGGCGCGCCCACCGGACAGATCCTCTATTCCAGCACTAGGAATAGCGGATCTAGGGAGGATCGAAGCGTCGCACACCAACGGCCGCAAAGAAGAGCCAACACTACACACCACTCGTTGCCGACAAATCGACAAGCTCCAACCACACCCGCGACGGGAGAAACCCACACTAGGAGACCAGGGCAACCTGGGAGTCGAACGAAGCTGCGGGGGACGGAGCCCTGCCGAAGAGGGAGGCGAATCAGGAGCCAAGAGCAGCGACAATTTTGGTCAAGATTGGGAATTTTTTCCTTTACATGGATAATAATTAAAATCTTATATTTAATAAATAAATAAAATAAAATATTAAAGTTTTAATTGGAATATGTAAATAATTTTCATAAAACTTATATTATTACTTTTTTTTTATTTAAAATAACATCAACGTCTCAAAAAGTATATATATTTTTTTATTATACATGTAATATGAAAGTCATATAAAGATAATAATTAATTTAATATATGAAATTTAAGAAGTTGATAACAAACCAAAGGGTTGTTGAGTTCTTAAGTATATTTATAATTTAAAATAATCAAGTTTTTCATAATTTTAAAAATTACGTAACAAATAAAATAATTATCAAGTTTTAAAATGTATTTATAATTTAAATTAGTCAAATAAGATAGTTATTAAGTTTTAAAATGTATTTATAATTTAAATTAGTCAAGTGTTCTACAGTTTAGAAGTCCTATCAACATTTTAGGGAACTAGCTACAGAGATACTTGTAGAACACAACATACCAAACAATCTTTATATGAGACCAATAAAACATATCTTTAATACAAGTCAAATCTCCATAACCCACAATCTCTAACTGAAAGCCACAAATTGCTAATTGGGCCTATTTTTTACTATTTATTTGTTCCTAAGAACAAGTCACATTCTCTTCAACTGTGTTCCCCAATGCAGGTTAGAAGCATATGTGTGCTCCAGCTGCTGAGCAACAACAGGGTTCAATCTTTTCGTCGTGTGCGTGAGCAAGAGACCTCGTTCATGGTCGAAAAAATCCAGCGTTTGGGATCTTCATTGTCAGCCGTGAACGTGAGCGACATTCTGGTCACACTCACGAACGATGTCTTTTGCAGGGTGGCCTTAGGTAGAACATACAATAAACGTGAAGATAACAAATTCCAGAAGTTTCTAAAAGAGTTTGTGCATTTACTGGGTACGACAAGCTTGGGGGATTATATACCGTGGTTGGGTTGGGTTAATCGTGTCAATGGCTTGGACACAAAAGTCGAGAGAGTTGCTAAGCTTATCGACGACTTCTTCGAGAACGTGATTCAAGAACATAGAGATCAAGGGAGAAAACACGATTATGAAGACGGTGAACTAGATTTCGTGGACATATTGCTCGAGTTTCAGAGACAGAATATAGAAAGTAGCTCGCCTGTCGGAGATGATACGATCAAGGCTATCATCATGGTAAGAATTACGTTTAAATGGTTAAATGACTTCCTGTCATCATTCCATCTCAACAATTGTATTTTTTATCTTATATTTAGCTATGTTTGATAAAACTAGCTGATAAGCTAGCTAGTTGATAGTTGATTGCTTATAAGTGATTTTCGAGCTCATAGCCTATAGCTTATGACTTATAATTGAAAAACTAGTTTATATGACAAAATGATAAACTAGCTGAAATAAGAATTTCAAAGAGTTTATTTGAAAAGCTACACAAAGAAACAAAAAAACTTCTGAGATAAGCTCGAGCTTTTTAAAAAAGCTCGTCCTACCAAACGGAACTTATTTGAATACAGGAAGTTTATAACCTAACGGAAGGACATGTTTATAGCCTCAAACATCCTTGGAAACTTCAAATATAACCGATCTCCATGGCAGGACATGTTTGCTGCAGGGACCGATACAACGGTCTCATCTATGGAGTGGGCAATAGCGGAGCTTATAAAGAACCCAAGAACAATGAAAACTCTACAAAACGAAGTGAAACAAGTAGTGAAAGGTAAGAAAGAGATAAACGAGGATGATCTAGAGAAAATGACGTACCTAAAAGCAGTTATCAAGGAGTCCTTGAGATTGCATTTGCCTGTCCCGTTACTCATACCTCGTGAATCCACTCATGACACGAAAGTCATGGGCTATGACATATCTGCCGGAACACAGGTCGTGGTAAACGCATGGGCCATCGCTCGGGACCCGGCTTATTGGGAAGATCCCGAAGAATTTCGACCCGAGAGGTTCTTGAACTCGGAGGTTGACTTCAAAGGTCAACATTTCGAGTTCATCCCGTTTAGCGCCGGCCGGCGGGGTTGCCCTGGGACTGCATTCGCTGTGGCTGTTAACGAGCTAGGGCTAGCCAAGTTGGTCCATCATTTCACCTTTGCACTGCCAAATGGAGAAAAGGAAGAGAATTTGGACATGAGTGAGGGAACAGGAATAACAATTCATAAAAGGCTTCCTTTACTTCTAATCCCTTATACATATAATTCTTAAGAAAAAAATAGGTAAAATATATTTGCCATCTTCAACATGTACCACCTCTTGTGTGATAAGAAACTACTTGAGAATATTTGTTGAGACTCTGATATATTTCCAGTTATTCTGATTATAACATGTTTGTTGGACCACACAATACATAACCAGGAATAGATAACAACTCGAATATGTATGACAATACTCTGCGTATGGTGTTAAAAAATCGCGAGATCTTGACATCAC